AAACTAGCAGAGTTACCAGTAAAAAACGATGTGACCTAAATATTGTATGCAGGCAGAATTCTTGTCAAACGAGAACCCAAACCCTATATGTAGCGACGAAATTGTCAAAATATATAAAGGCTATGAATTTATCTTTTTGTCAAATAAGGAATCCTAACTGTTTTGAGCACTTCCAATACCACTGCTTTTAGAATTTAAATATTGACAAAGTATAGATTCTCAACTTCAAACTTTTCCACAATCTCATTTAAAGTTGTTGATATGGATACTCATATATTTTTTGATTTTGAAATGCAATATTAATTATGAATTTTGTAATTTGCCAAAGGCTTCGAGGGAATTCCGCCCAAAAAACTTTTTCAATTATATTTATTTTGATTTTTAGTTCATTCAACAAGTGCCCTCAGGTCGAAAATGTTCACATATCTGCATACATACATACACATATGTATTATGTATGACACAAATAGGAAACGAAACCATTAAGACCAACATTTGTGCATGCATATTGAAATTAAGTCCAGTTCTCCACCAAAAAAAAAAAAAAAAAAAACGTATCTAATCAATATAACCGTCTCGAATACGAATTAATGATGTTTGCCGCTGGAAGTTTGAAGTTGAAAGTGTTTGCTTATCATGGTATTCGTATGATATTTTTTTTAAAGTTGCCATTTTTTTTCAATCTATTGTTGTTGGCTAAAACGAGCATTTTATCTTCATTAAGCATTTATTTCTTCAGTTAACACCCACTTCTTGTGTGTTGGCTTTGTTGTTTTGTTTCTGTTTTTCATCTGCGTTTTATTTCACATTTTTAGCTGTGTGTTTTTGTTTCTTTCCTCATTGTTTAGGTATTTCTATACAGCTGAGCTTGTGATCATGATGATTTTTGTTTTAGATATTATAATGCATTAATATTTCATGGTTTCTTTTTCTTTTCTCATTTGTTATAAAGAGAAATTATACAATTTCGGGTTAATTTGATTTTTTGCACAATTACCAAGCACCCAGTCACAAACATTTCACATGGCGTCGAAGAGAGTTGTTGTTGGTGATAGTCGATTTGTTGTTGTTGTTATTGTCGTTAAAAACAACACGCATGCGCACCACTCGGTAATTGTTACAAAGAGAAGGAAACAGTGTTACCAGCGTTGAAACTATGGTGTTTTTAGCTTTGTAACTCATCGAGCTAAGCAAATTAACGTCGGTATAATATCTTATCAATTTCAAGTACTTCAGGGAGTGGAACTTAATACTGAGCTTCTGACGATTTTTGTAGGTGCTCCAATAAGGCGCTGCAAACATGCCTGTGCCAAGTTTGAAGAACATTGGAAATTTATATTTATGAGGGTAATTATTACTCAAAATTTTAACCTTTTTGTCGTGAAGATACGAGAAAGAGTTGACTAGTATTTAATTCTCTAATCTGACATAAACGTTATAGTGTTATCATGTTTTGTGGAAGAGGTACCAGAAAGACTGGATCGACAGAAAGACTGGACTAGCTCAAGCTAGAATCTTGAAATTTTGCACGAGGGTCAGACTTGGTGCGTAGGCGTATACATAGGTTGTGTTTTTGGAAATTCTTATTAAAAAGATATGGAAAGTACTAAAAATTGAATACTTTATATTGGTCAAACGGAATGAGCTAGTATTCTGAAATTGGAATGAGAGCCACTGTTAAAGTGAGGGATTTATGGTTTTTGGAAATAGAAAAAACTTTAAATTTGAATATTTCGATTATTGATAGGGATAGAAATGATTTCTTTCTTGGTATCTGAAATAGAGTTATAGAGAAAGATTTGGAAATGTTTATAGTACACATTCCAAATCAAATGAAGGGATAGATACAAAATTCTGAAATTTGATATTTCGATTATTGATAGGGATAGAAATGATTTCTTTCTTGGTATCTGAAATAGAGATCATTTCTATCCCTATCAATAATCGAAATATCAAATCTTGCAAAAGGTACCCTAAAATTATTCATTTTTGGTGTCTGTGGTTAAGACATGTAGGTGGTATTGGAAATGTGTACCATATTCATTGGAAAAACAGTAAGTGGTACTAAATTGGATATTGGGTGAAGGTAATAGAACTGGAATCCCGAAATCCGATATTAAAACCTCTGTTGGTATTTGTAATTGAGATATGGAGGTGGTTTTGGAAATGTGTACTATAATTGTACGAAAAGTACTTAATTTGATATTGGGTAAAGGAATAGATCTGAAATATGGATGTCACTGTTGGTATCTATGGTTGAGAGAAAGTTGAGAAAAGATACTAAATTGGATAATGGGGGATATTACAGAGCTTTATATAAATGTCACTGTCGGTATCTGAAGATGAGATATGGAGATTGTTTGAAAATGCGTACTTTAACTTTACGAAAATAACTTTTAAATATGCAACAGGTGGTTTTGTTTATTTTTAATTTTTTTTTTTTCAAAATTCTTATATTGGGGTTTTCGGGTTTATTCCACAAGACTGAATCTAAAATAGAAGCATAATACGGTTTTATCCCAAAATTGTACAATGCGTTGCCCATAAACGTCGAAAATATGCATTTAGTTTACAACCGAATTTAAAATAATTTCAAATTACGGTATTATTATTTCCAGGCTTAATTATATGCAAATTCCATATTATTTGGGCTGATATTACACGTTGGGTGCACAATAAAAGGCAAATTGGAAGAAGATATATATATATGTATATTGATCTATTATATCCAATTTCAATAGCGTTCGTTGATCGTCAATAAAATCGACCTGCACTTTGAAACTCTGTTCCCATATATCTAGTGCTTCGATATATATTTTTTGATATAATCATTCTAAAAGTCAAAATTGGATATATCTCCAAAATCTTAGTTACCTCTTTTTCCAAATAACAATTGCCCTAAAGCTATAATACACACTCAAAAATGGTTTAGAATTGAGACGTTTAATTTCACGTTAATTCCCAATATAAAAGTTTATCTGTAACGGGTAGCTCTACTAAATATGCATAGTGGAGTGTTATAAAGTCGGTCCCGTCCCATTTTTGATCTTTCTTTACTGTTTTATGCCCTCTACCATAGTATGGAGAGTATTTGGTATTGCAAACGGGCCATATATGTCTGCGTTTTGGTATGACCTCCATATAATGGTACCTATTTTCTATTTTCGGTATTTTGGTAATTTAAGCGACATTATTCATCGGAAATGTTTCAAATTTGGTATTTAAAGTTCGTAATGGATACTACAGCCTATGACAAAAAGTTGTCGGTACAGGCCCACGCCTTCGTATAGTCCCCATATAATGGCACCTCCCGATATTCAGTATTTTGATGATTTAGCTATATTATTCACCGGAATAGTTTCAAATTTGGTATTTGAAGTTCGTAATGGATATTACAGCCTATGACAGACAATTGTCTGTGCAGATCCACGTTTTGGTATAGCCCCCATATAATGGCACCTCCCTATATTCTTATGATTATATTTTTATGATTTTAGCTACATTATACACCATTTTTTCAAGTTTCGCATTTGAATATTGTAATGACTTATGATAAAAGTTGCTCGGGCGAATTTACAGCTTTTTTAATTTTTATTCGAAATTATTAAATATTTTCCGTCTAAAAGCATAATTTAATGTACTGAAAAGTATACAACAACTTTTACATATATGTAGATCCACGTTCCCATGTAAACATGTGTCTCTATTATTAATTTGTTAAGAAGTAACAAAACAATTAATAATTTGATTTCTGAATTCTTAAAAATTTTCTCTTCCCTCGGAAATTTTTTTTCCTATGAGGAACTGTTATACGTTTCCTTCATTTTATCAATCAAATAAATAATGGTAAGCTAACTAATTTGAATATAATATTTAATATTTTTATTAAAATACACTATTTTATGCAGCGTCTTGAAGTCTCCTATTTTTTTTTTCAACTTCTGGCAACACTGTCAAAATAACAATTGTATATTTGGACATTCACTTTTCGATTGAAGAATACGACGACGACGACGGTTAGTTTGTAGGCATTGCTGGTATTTTTCTTCATATGGTTATTGTTGCTGTTGTTGGTAACATATGTATGTTGTATGTACCTACGTCAATTTTATTTTTGGTGAAATTACTTCTTTTGCTTTCAATTGAAGCAGCAACACCAACCATCAACGCTGATCATATCACACCCGGACGCACACACTTGTTTTCGGCACTCTTAAGTATTTTTAGACAAAAATTCCCGCACATACACACACACACACTCGCACGTACATTCATCCAAGCTAAATTATAGAAATTATACGAGCACATCAAACGGAGCATACCACGTCATTATAATATTCGCTCAATAGAAGAAGAAAACAAAAAACGAAAAAAAAGAAAGAAAGATAAATGACGATTTTGTTAATGAATTTAATTTTTGATTTCTTTGGCTGAGCTTTTGTTTTTGTGATTTTCTTCAGAGGCAATTGGCATTAAAAGCCCTTGAAACGCTTGAGCAATGCTGTGAGTAAATCGCTTTGCATTACTGTTGCTGCTGCTGCTGCTGTTGTTGTTGTTGGCAATTACAAGATTTTTTCGTTCGTTTCGTTTTGCATTTTGTTATAAACAGCAAATCTCTTGGCTGATTTGAAATCGTTGCGTTTTTTTTGGTTTCTTTGATTATTTCGATTTTAGTTTTGAAATCTAATGAAAAATACTTTGTTTTATGGGATCTTTGTTTTTTTTATCACATCAAATTAAACAAAAAAACTTAAAAAAGGAACACCAACAAATTTAGCATGTCTTCACTTGGTTTTAACACTTTTTCTGTTGCTATTTTCTTCAAAACTGTAATGAAATCTTCATGGTGGTGTTGTTGTTGGTTTCTCTTTTCATAGTTCGTCTGCTTTGTTCGAGTTTCTTTCTTTATTACTTATGTATATTTTGTTTGTTTGTTTGTTTGTTGTTGTTGCTGCTGTTGCTTTTTTCAACTCTTTAAAACACTTCTTGTATTTATTTACCGCTTCTTATCGTTTCGGTTGGAGGAGAAGAGAGTAGACACTGCTTGTTATTTTATTCCCGCTAATGCCGTCCGCAAGCGCTGAAAGTCCGTTAATAACTGAATCTTTGTTGGGCAACTCATATGCGCTCAGAGCTCCAATACATCCGTTCCAGTGAGCCAGCCACCTAGTATCCACCATCGAACAGCTGAGCTAAAAACTCGGTCTTTGTAATGTCTTAACACGAAAAAATAACAAAAACAACAAAGTGACTTGAAAGAGAAATAAACAAAAAAACAACTTGAATGGTTTGTGTCAATGTTGAATTCGAATCGAAAAAAAACCGGTGTTTATTTTTTGTTTGGGTTTTGTTCATTGGCTCCCAAACTATAGAGATGCAGTTTAAAGTTGTGATATTACAGTTGCATCCCCATAATTGAAATTTGAAAACTATTAATACTAACTTACATAATAGAATGTTAATGTTGTAGTGGATTTAGAAAACCAAGTCGATTTGAATTGTCAATTCCATTGCATATACCTCAAATAAATCTTCATAAAGAAGACTAACCCCGAAAAATGCTCCAATGTAAACATGCTTTAAGAACCTTACAGAATGTTGCAAAGATCAAATATGTACAAAGCACCAACAGGGAGTCATGTATCGAAATATAATTTTCAAAGCTTGAAATAATTTTAAAATGATCAATTCAACAATTTATTAAACTCGACAATCAAATGGGGTGTCAGTAAATCTTCAATTTCTACATACTGAAATAATATTTTTTCATTCAGCTATACTTAATTTCGAACGGGCTAGATGGGACAAAATTGAATCATAGTTTAATTATTTTAAAAGTAGTCGTCATCCGCTTTGGTGGTCCATCTTTTAATGTTTAATGACTTTTTCGATGTTCATTTTTGTTTAAAGTTTAATCTTACAATTGTTCAGTTTGAAAGATCTTTACTTTTTATACCCTCCACCATAATATGGAGGGTATATTAAGTTTGTCATTCCGTTTGTAACACCTCGAAATATACATTTTAGGCCCCACAATGAATATACATTCTTGTTGAGCATAAAATTCAATGTCGATTTAGCGATATCCGTCCGTCTGTGGAAATCACTCTAGCTTCCGAACGAATTGAAGAAAATTCGTATAGCCCCCCTATAACGGTACCTCCCGATATTCGGTATTTTGATGATTTTAGCGACATTATTCACCGGAATTGTTTGTATTTGAAGTTTGTAATGGATGCTAGAGCCTATGATATGAGATATTCTATGCAGGTCCACGTCTTCGTATAGCCCCCATATAACGGTACCTCCCGATATTCAGTATTTTGATTATTTTAGCGACATTATTTACCAGAATTGTTTCATATTTGGTATTTGAAGTTCGTAATGGATACTACAGCCTAAGACAGAAAATTGTTTATGCAGGTCCACGCCTTCGTATAGCCCTCATATAACGGTACCTCCCGATATCACCGATTTTTTTAAAGTTTCTTATTTGAATATTGTAATGGCTTATGATAAAATTTACCTATGCAGGTCCATGTCATCGTATAGACCCTAATATAACAGCTACATTCGGTATTTTTAAGATTTCAACAGAATTTTTAGCGGATTTTATTGTTTTTGAGAATTGCAAAATTCGTTCCAAATGGTGGAGGGTATTCAAAGATCGGCCCGGCCGAACTTACAGCTTTTTTACTTGTTATACTACTAGGAATGCCAAATTCTGGCAACAAAATTATTCTATAAATTTCTGCCTAAGCTGAGCTCCCCTAGACGATTTCGGGCATTCTAACTTTTGTCCCAAAAAAGAAAATAAAATGGTCTAGTTGTAAATTCGAGACAACCCTACACTCACGAACATAAAAAAATAACTGGACATTACTTATCTTCACAATTATCTTTTACTTACTATTTAACTAGCTACGAACAACACAATTTAACTTATATACTGAACACAACACCAACAAGCAGTTATTTTATAATCGTATTTAGTTTTTTTTTTTTTGGTCAAACAAATATAAAAATGTAGATTATCATCAATTGACGAATTTTATTTTGTTACTCATTCCAGTGGAGCTTCCAGGATCGGTATTACCGCCTGTTCTACAAGTTTTTATTCCAGGACTTTCAGTATTTGCCTCATCTGGCATTATTCGCCCTTCATCTACGCCATATGATGTTTTTTTTTTCCTAAATAAAACACACAAACTAAACACAACATATCCAACATAACACCACTTACAAATCACCGTTATTTCTTGAACAACATTTCCTAACGAAATTTCATACATGGTTCTAACTTTTTGAACAATCATAGTACGCATTCCCATATCCACCTCCTTCTCCAAAAAACTATATACCAAGCGTGGCCTCCATATCAAATTTCAGATTTCCAGCTCTATCGTAAGACTTCATCCCAAATTTAGTACCATACTTTTCGTGCTTACGACTATTTTTGAAGATTGTCCACATAATATAAAAATAAAACATAATAATAAGGCAAAACTCTAAAACAAACAAAATTGGCATCAAGTGCATATCATATAGAGATTGCCAAACAAAAAATTTATCGTAGTTTGGGAGTCACTGGTCGGTATCATATCAATGTACATACACACATGAGTGCACTAATACTCCAACGTCTTGAAGTATAAGAAAAAGAATTCAATCGAGAGAGTATCATTGCTGTCATTTGTGTGCATGTTTTACTCTCCACTCTGTTGTGTATAAAAAAGTTTGTGTCTTAAGTCTTTTGTTTTGATAGTGGGGCACAATCTCTCGTTCATTCTCATTTCATACTCACTAAATTTTTAAATGCACCAACTCTCGCATTCACTACAACTGGCCTGACATTTGTACTCAAAATTAAACAAACCATTAAATATGTTTGACTTTCCATGCATGGCGCACAGTGGGGGTGTGGGAAACGAATTCAAAACACAATAATAGCACGGAATTTTGTTTGCTATAGAATAGAAAACTTTTCTTTGTCTAATGGTTAGTCAAAAGAGAAATTGCATCACTTTGAGAGAATAGCGTGCTATAAGAAGTCAGTTTTTTTGCTGTTGGCGACAGTTTTAAAAATTGCAAACAAAGATTTAGTGTTACACTTGTTGTTATTGCATCATTACCATCAACAAGGCATTTCCCAGATCCCGGAGATACGATACGTTTTGTTGTTGTATGTCGTTGTCTCGTGCAATAAAAACCCAATTACCAGCAATTTTTGAAACAGAAACTTGTAAACAAATTCAAATGGGATTTTTAAGAGGGCGCCATAGTATTGTAATCAAATATATTGTTTTATAACATAAATAATCTATTTAAGATCATATATATATATATATATATATATATATATATATATATATATATATATATATATATATATATATATATATTCTTGATCAGCGTAAAATTCTAAGACGATTTAGCCCTGCCAGTCCGTCTGTTGTAATTACGCTAGAGTCAAAACAAATGAGGATAGAAAGCTAAAATTTTGCATAGATCAGACTTTTGACAGGACAAGTTCAAAAATCGGTCCTCCCATAAAACGGTACCACCAATATTCGGTATTTTAATTTATAACAGTATTGTCTATATAGGTTCGTAATTTATAACATGGAACTATTAACATATTACATGTTTTTTTAAGTGTCAGCCAATTTTTTTTTAAATTTTTCCCGACTTGTGTCGAAATTTTCAAAAATACCATGACATGGTAGAAAAACAATGCTGCAACATAGACGAAAATGTGAACAAAGGCATATCCAATCGGTAGTGGTATCGGCGAGCTAAGAAAATGTTTTAAATGATTGGTAAAGAAAACCCAGTAAAGAAAGATATCCTACATCACTTTGCATATTTAGTACAGCTTCACATAACAATTAAAAGTTTTTAGGAGAGAATTAAATCATACAAGGACTAAATATCATACAAAGAACTAAATATGTCAAAGCATTTGTATCTTTCCAATTTGGAATTATATTGCCAATTTGGTGCACAAATAACTTAAAATCGGATAAATATATATGGGAGCTATATCCAAATCTGAACCGATCTCGATAAAATTTGTTACGGAGTGCATATTACGGCTGTAGGCAACAAATATAACAAATCGGATGAAGAGTATATATGGGAGCTATAGCTATATCTGAACCGATGTTCACCAAATTTGACATACTAGCTTCTAGACTCAATTCTCTCGTAAGTGCTAAATTTCATACCATTTTGGCTAATATTAGCCGTTTGGTGCACAATAATAGGCAAAACGGACGAAGTCATTTATGGGAGCTATAGTCAAATCTGAACCGATCTCGATAAAATTTAGCAAAGGTATTTTTGAGCTGTATTTGATATATTTCTCCAAATATTTTTGTTACAGAGTGCATATTACGTCTGTCGGGAACAAATATATCAATTTAGATGATAACAATTTCGATCAAATTTGGCATACTTATTTTCAGCCATAATCTGGTCGTATGTGCAGAATTCCATAATATTTGGGCTAACACGTTTGGTGAACAATAAAAGGCAAAGTAGACGAAGATATATATATATCTCCAATTATCTCCAATTTCAAAATTGCAAAATTTCATCTGGATCGGACAATAAATGCGATCTGTATTTTGTTTACAAAAATTCATGGACAAACGGACGGAGGGTCATGCATAAATCTACTCATAATGTGAATCTAAGCAGATCATCAAAAGGAACTATGGGTTTATCTCGTTTTCCTGCCATTTGCAGAAGAAATGTGGAATAAAGCGTATAACCAAAGTTACTGAAGGGATAACACGCCAAAGAATTGTTTTTAAATAGAAACACACAAGCAATATGCAAAGGTACGCGCGACAGGGACTCCTAAGAACGATCGAACACTATTAATTTATCTGTAGTAATTATAGCATTTTTAGACCATTTAATTTAAAAATCTCATTTAGAAGTTTCTTTTTTAAATACCGGAGTGCCTGCAAAGAGTGAAAAAATGTCCACTTTTTTGTGAAGTACTTATAATGAAAAGTAGAGGATCAATGTAGCAGTATTTTAATCTAATTACTTGATCGACCCTCATATAATAATATCAAGTGTTTTAAAAAAGTAATTTAAAGACATTGACATCGTGGTGATTATAGCGAAT